TACCTCAAAATCTTCTCCGTTGTGTTCTTGCATCCTATGCGCGCCTAGTGGAGTATTGTGTTTTAGTTTAGATTTACCGACTAGGTGTTCTTTTATGCGGACGCAGAGCGGTCTACCCGTTTCGCCAACATATTCGTGCCCGCACGCTTTACAAGAGATCAGATAGACTGTACCCGAACTCATGCAATCACCGTCTCTACCATTTGGGCAAATTATGCAGTTTTTTGTTGTACATAGACGGTCGTACAGGCGGTTGCGAACTAGCTGGCGTCTTAGAGTGTCCGGTGGTATTTCTATCACTCTTACGAAATTCTCTAGACCGGCCCTTATTAAGCAGCGTTTTATAGCTGCACTTATTTCGTTTGAAATAAAGGGCAACAGAAACGGAGCCTTGTTTTCACTAGAATTATCGCTTTGGGGCGTGGGATTTCCTCGATGCCTATCCTGAGAAGCTACAGTTTCGTAACCATTTGAGATGGCTATTTGTCGCGCCAGTTTCGAGGATTCTTCCCTCTGCTCTCTACCTGTGCACACGCTAGCGGCGGTTCGAAACATATTTCTTATAAGCGCTCTTTTAGTGTGTGAGGGGTGAGAGGAGCGGTAGTGAACCACTATATTCTTACTGCTCGGCTTTCGATACCATTTTGTGGTGTAGCCGTTCTCGGATAGGTTAATTTGAAGGTTTAGAAATGGAAAATTCTATATTAACAACCTCGTGTCTGCTTATTGATGAAAAACATTGAATTATCAATTAATGCCGAGGTTAACAGGAAGTCGGTCATGGGAATGCAAAAAGTTGTTGTATGCCCTGTAAACCGGAAGCGGTGAGACTATTCTTGAATTCACCTATGCCCTAGGGCAAGTGAAAGCTTACTCTTAGATCTTGTCTAATCTCCTATCCACCAAATGGTAACGGGTAAAGTATTTCCGCGACCAAGAAGCCAGACATTTTTCATTAAATGAGATTCTTTACCAGGTTAACATTGAAACTACCTTTCGAAGCTTTAGTTCATTCGATTGAAGAAGTTCAATTTTTGATGTAGTTGTTTTCTATTTCGTTTCAGTGATACAGCTGATTAGAGATAACCTCATAGGACGATAACCTACGACAACATTATTTGAGTTTTGTCCTTCTTCAGCAGTTTACCTCGTAATAATCAGGAATTCTTCAAATCCGCATAACCTATTCATCGCCTGTCATTCTACGTGGTGTTGATTAGATTGTTATTCATTCTATAGACCGTTCTTTAGAATTGTCAGTTAGTAATCATTAATAACGAGTACAGTTTGTAGGAGTTTTAGATACAACCTTTAAAAATGCTAGAAAATGTGGAATACAATGTGGAGGTGACGAGTAGCGACGATGAGGAATTGGAGAAAGAACTCCTTACGGTGAGCGGAGTTTGTTTCTATTACGAACATGTTTTGTAGGAAATATTTTCATGAGTATTAGGCCACGTTTCAATACAGATTGAGTTTTAACGACTACTCGTTTACATTACTCGTTTACCTATTAAGCAGTGACCTTAGTTCGTACTCCTTCTTCGATTAAGGTTTCGTGAGTATGGATCATTGTGGTCACATTCCTAAATCACTGAAAAAGTATTGATCTGTGGAACTAATTGATGTTTTATCAGCAGGAAACAAGTTTAACAAAATAGATTTTTAACGTCGCTCTTGTTGGGACAAGATGAGCGTAGTGGTAGAGATGCTGTTCAATCCACGCAAAGTGGCACTTTGAACCCTTTCTTTGCCAACGACAGCTCTCATCGTTTAAAGATATCGAGAACATAGTACCAAGATTGTCTGGGAAGTGCTCCTTTGAATGCATAAAGGTTGGAGACTGCATGTGATGACGGTATGCGAACACCTTAGCACCAGCTCCCAAAGTATTCCAAGGACAGTCGTCCCGACCAGCAATCGATCCCAGCCGAGAAGAAGGATATTCTCATGCACCAAACGCACGGACACGCAAATCAAAGACATTCGTGTATGATCGATGCGAGAAAACTATTCGTACGAACGACACAGAAGTCCGCACAACTTGGTACTTTTAATGTAGACTGATGTAAAAAAATATGTTATTTTACTCAATATTTTTCTACTGTTCGATTAGTCTAGGATGGTTTGTATTATGCTCCTCGAGCCGCCGAGCTGTTGAGCTAATTTTCACGCTGACAGATTGTGCATCCTCCTTTGTGGAGTGGCCAACCATCTACAGACTTCTCTACCAGCATTGTTGGCTTTTCCACAGGCAGCATTAATGCTTTGAGCGGCCTTTCTACCAGTGCTCATTCGTCATCATGAGAAATCGGTTTTGTTCGCTTCGTTATCTTTTCTGTTGGACTTCTAATTATTTTTAACGATAAACTTAGAAGCTCTTTCAACATCTAAAAGAAGGTCCGCAAAATCGCGTGTAGCCCTCCATAAAAAGTATTTCTACATCAACCAGACCATAGCGCGAATGTGTTTCATGAGACGAATAATTGTGGAACTGAAGTCTTTTCATAACTACAGTGACTAGTTACCAAAACTAAAAATAATGTTTTTCGTTACAATAAGTAAGGTCGTCGCAAACATTTTCTATGCCGCTTCTTTTCTCATCAACCTTCTGTGGTTTTTCCACTCGTCGAACTCTTCATTTGTTAAGCACGGAAACTAAGAGTTGTTAATTAGGATGAAAGCGTTTTCTGTTTTTTTTTTTAACAAAGTATTCCCAAAGTGCTCTAAGAAGTTTTTTGGCAGATTTTGAAAGGGCTAAGGAAACATACATTTTGAAGGAGTCGCTTACGTCCTCTCTAAAGTGTCAACTAAGAAACCGGCTTTCGTAGAAAATGTCGACCTGCTTCATACGAACTTCCTACATTGAAAGTTTCTCAGCCTCCAAATTCAAATCAGTAGATGTCAAAAAACTCAATAGTAGTTGTGAATTAATTCAAAGGAAATTATCACTGTGTTGATTCAAAAATTTTCAGTACCATCGTGCAAGTTTAACGATGAATGATGCCTATACGGAAGTGATATTGAAGAACAACAGAACGATGGACGAGGAACTATGAAAACAGTACATGTTTGATGTAGGTATAATTCGCTGAGTTGCCAAAATTTTTGAGGTTCTCTAGAATGCCTTAGTAGGTGACTTACAATGCCAGAAAATAGGCTGTTCAATCGTAACAAATTTTATTATCTAGCCACTGTGGAAAAAAAAGAGATAAAATTCTTCAAATGTAAAAACAAGTGCGAAATCTAAGTTTAAGAAGAAACTTCTGTGACGATTCCGAAATTAAGGAGCTCAAAGCGACCTTCTTCACCGAAGACTTGAAGCTTCCAGTGCGTCCTATGCTTGGGTTATTATGTGGGTGGCGGTTACATGGTCTATAGGTACTAGAACACTACGTATACTACCAATTCTGAAGCCAGTGAACAATATGTTCCTGCAAATTCTTTCAGTGGTGCACCTGGCCGTTACTTGCAACGCTTCCTCCAGGAGAACATGCACACAATGAGTTGTTGGACGAAAATTAAGGTGGGATCTTCCCAGAATAGAAAAAATAACGCGAAACATGAAGACTGGTTCCCACAGAGAGGGAGACAAGGATCAGGAAAAAAACATAGGTGTTTTCAAATTGGGTTTCTTCTTTTGTACTTGTTAAAGTGAAATAAGCATTTTCACGGGATTTAACACATTTCTAGAAGCGTTCCCTTTTTAATCTATCAACCGTCGAGTTGTAAAAGACGCGAAATGTTGGTGACATCGGCTGCATCTTCTACGGCCAACTTCGGCTTTCGTTTATTGTGATTTTACGGAAAAAAAAACTGAAAGGAAAGTTTTCTTTCTCCTGCAATGTTCGATTATATCCAAAGCAGCATCTTCTAGAAGTGCCGTTATGTATGCGAGCTGCTTTAATATCGAATATTTGGTTTCTTTTTGTTTACTAAGAACTTCAATAGCTCAGCATCGACTCATTTATTGTAATCAGATCCGATCCACTTGATCATTTACTGTTGTTTATGCACTTCTATCACTTGATTCGAATTCCACAACTTCACATCCTATTAAGCAATTTCTTCAAACATGTCCCATGAGCTTTCTTCTCGTTTTCATCCCAGTTTCATTTTCGGAAATTTCCTTTCCTTCTCTTCAAAATGTTCACTCAGTTGAGTCTTCGTCTCGGTCAAATCCCTAGCCACTTATAGTGTGGGGCAGCTCTCCAGAACGCTCCTCGGTTGGCAACACCAATCCGCCTTTGGTCCCATTAAAAACCTGTTGATTCTCAGGTCGAAGCTTGTCACTGTTTTCAATAAGCATTTTGTCAAACTATCGTCTTTCCAAACCCAGCTGTGGCCTTGAAACCGGTGTCCAAATTATGTCAGATGTATTTAAAGCTATGACTTCTTGCTTTGTAGCCTGTAGGGACGTGTGTAGGACAGTCGCGGAGCCACCGTGCAACACACATGAGATCCAATCCTGCATCCTGGCCCACCAAGCGCTCCATCTCTACGGGTTCGGTAAGTTGCTAGCAGACTTGTTTGGTAGGATAGTAGCACTGGCTCGATACATCGGTAGGCCACCGTGAGTCATTATAAAGTGCAGATGTGCATTCAGTTATCGCCAGCGATGCTTAATGAAGTCGAATGCATGGTTTATATCCCAGGAATTCTTAAAAACAGAGCTTTCAGGATTGAATATTCATTCACCTCGGCATTAGATTAGAAATGTGTCGTTTCCATGTTTCTCTCCTCGGTAGAGGAGACGCGTTTTTTGCGTCCGACGACACACAAAAAACGGCTCTGATGAAGGCGATACTGCCGAAACGTCAGCTACTGTTGTGTTGTGTGTATTTTTGCATGGAACTAAACTGAGAGCTTTATCCTTTTATCCTTTAATTTTGTCGCTTCTACGTTTCATAACAAAACCAACTGAACAAGTGCATGAAAACCTAAAGACCATTAAGAAACTAAGGAAATCATTGTTCGCAAGTGGAAAATGGTTGCAAAATATGGCTCGTCTTAGGTGCGATCAATGAGTTTGAATGAAAACCAACGTTATTGGTAAATTATGGCTTCTTAATAGTTTTCTGCGACGAAATGTTCATTTCAGGGAATGCATTACTGTTGATAACAATGATTTCACCCGAATGTCTCCGGAAGTGGAGTGGACTCGTCAACTTACCCCACTAACTACTTCTTACGGTATGGGCCAAGTTCTGCAAGCCGTGCTTGAAAATGGTTCCAAGCCTTCACCTGAAGGTTGGTATTTTTCACGTCCTTTTTCTCAAGTTACTTACATTTCTAGACTGACCTTTTCCTTTTTTCATAGTGCTGAATATAAGAGTTATATTGCCTCGAACTGTCTAAAGAGTAAATGGAGAAATGGCCTTGCAAATGCATTTAAAAGTGTAATGACAAGAAATGAGTTCAAAGGCGTTGCAGCGTTACCGTGCGGCTTACTGTGTTCGCATCTACCAATGCTTAGTGATTTATTTTAGAGTCCTTTCGCGAGTTTATTTTTTAAATTTCTCTCTTTACACTAGATTTTCTGGCCATGTGGCATATCACCGTCTCCTAAGGTCGCCTGGCAAGAACGAAACGGGGTGAATCTGCGTGATTTCAGATGTGAATTACGAATTGGCAGAATGCGTAGTAAAGAAGGTCATCAAGAAATGTCTCAACTCTACGGCCACATGACGACCCAGTGTGCAGGAGATCTCGACTCAGCTGAACGTCATCAGCAAAAAACTAGAGAGTTCAAAGGGCAACAGCAATCACACGTCAACGAGATTGATCTGGGGAGGCCAAAATCAGCAGCGAACCTAGTTAAGCTGAGGCTTTAGTTACAATCACAATCTTAACCGTTTTATTCACTGTCTACTCTTTTTATGGCAGGGTATATTGCGAAACTCCCAGGAAAAGACCACATAAGCTTACTGCTTCTTCGTGTTCTGTAAGGAGTTCGAGGATGGCTTGCCTAGAGAAGTCATTTGATACGTTTGAATAAAGTGCGGTAGCCAACCTGTATAAAAGACCACTATTGGCAAAGGTGATTCATTTGAGCTGTTCTCCATTGGAATTGACTCGATGCGATCACGAAAAATCACGTCGGAAGCGAGAAGAACTGGAAGCAATCGACTCATATCAATCCACCTACAAGAAAGGAGAAAGCGAAGAAACGTTGGTAGATTAAGGCTTCCTCATAAACATCGTGATAGTAACTGCCACGACCGACTTTCTATTAACCTCGGCATTGATCAAGTGATTTTGTTCGTATTTTTGTTGAGCAAACGCG